AACAACCTCTGCTAAAGGACAGTATTACGGTGAATGCTGCGTCAGTCTCGGCTGCCTAGGTGCTCCGCAACCCTGATCCAGTGGTGTGGGCGAATTGTATGCAGGCGGGGCTTATGATTCGGAAATGAAACCTTGGTATTGGGTACCCGAATGTGCTAACATTCTTGGACCCTGATACTAAAAAGGTCTGACAACGCGCAGGCTTCATCAGCACGATTTGGATGTCTGTTGCCTGTCTGAGGTCCGAATCCGCGATTCAGGCGTTAGGGAAATAAAGATCCCGGGGATTTATTCCCGCTTTAGACTATACCATTGCCGCGCACGCCACTCTTCTGGTAGATATGCAATGCCGATTATCCTCTCAGAACAAGCGGACCAGGCACAACTTGCCTGGGTTGCAGTCAATGATTGGATGGCTTACGTTCGACTGAAGGGTCACTTGACGAACAGCTCTGTCGTTTCTGTGTAGGCACCAACATCAGCTGTCGACCGGCTCGATAAAGAAATTTACTCTGAGTCTTACGAATTCTCTGAAGGACTTTCATGTTGGGATCTTCTGATGGTTGGCGGGAGCAAGAATGGTCGGACTGGACCCGGCTATTTTGGGCTCACCTATCGATGTGTCAATGGTGGGAGGATGCTGAACTTCGCTGGTCGGAACCGACTGTCACAAATGCTTGCTTCCAAAAGCGTCACAACCATCTTCTGACATGGTATTTAAACGACAGCTCATACGGCTAGTCCCATCCGACTACACCCTAGCTGGTTCAATGTTTACGACAGCAGATCAATCCGCGATGCCGAAACTTGTAACGCCCATGGATCCGACCATTTTCCCGCTAGCACACGCCTGAAAATTAATCTCCTATCCGTATCAGAAACGTTACATATACAGTACCTATATGCATATACATTTAGACAATTCAGCACAGTCGCGAGGCTGCGTAGAGAAATCCGGACCCGTTTTACCTGCCAAGTCGACGGAGAAGGTATTAGCCAGTTGTCAAATTTGAAGTCGTCGGTCAATATGGCGGCTCAGGAAATTATTGGATTCTTTCAACGGCGCCGCACTGAATGGGTCAACGAAATAGCCCTGTAGTTGTTTGCTCAGACAGTTAGAGCCAGGTCCAGCCATGGGGATTCCTTTAGTTAACTCCAGAAAATGACGACAAAGTTGAACAAGAATGACTGTCGCCTCAAACGTTGGCAGCTCTCGAAAACTACCAAATCATTGACCAAGTTATTGGTAAGCCGTCCGCACTGAATGATTCCGTTCGCGATTTGAATGGCGACTTCATTAATGACAAATCGGTCACGTTTGAGTGATGGCATGAGCACTTCTGGCACGTCGGCACTACTGGTCGATCAATCAAGCCCTCGTTCTTCTCTGCGGCTGACTTTTATCCCTCTTCAACTTATGCAACGCTATAGTACCTGTCTCAGACGATGAAGTAGCAGGCGCAAGATAAATGCTGCATAACCAGAAGGCGCTCGAGGACGACGACGACGAAGATGATAATCATGCTGAAGAAGAAGATGACGATGGTGGTGGTGATGGTGAGGATGATGAAGACGACGACGACGGCGGCGGCGGCGGTGATGATGATGTTGATGATGACGAAGACGACGACGATGATGACGCCGAAATTCCTGAGGTCATCGGGTAATTATGCAAGGATGAGGTGTGTTTTTATGGACTGACACCATTCTACTTATCTTCAAGGAATGAGATAAGCAACGTGCGAAGGCTACCGCAGCATAAGCCTCATGACGCTGCTGCCAAGGTCTACGCTGTTATCCTTTTCAGGCGAATCCACGCTGTGCGTGACTCTATGGCGAAGTTCAAACAAGCTGGATTTGGGGGGAGGGGGGGTGGATGAGCGAACCGGATATTTAGGTGGAGACACATTTTGGAATTCCACTATAGCTACCAGTAACTGAAAGCTGTCCGTATTGTTGACTTCGTCGTTGCGTCGAATTCTATCCATCGTGAGTCCCTGTGCTTGTGTCCCGACCACAATCATCGCCATGATCAAAGCGTACTGTTTTCGCAGCACTGCATGACTTCTTTCAGTTATTTTTGCGTTTATTTGGTAAGGATAACAAACAATTCCCTTGAAAACCCTACAGATTACATGTCATTTCGTTAAATGCAACTGCACACGAGCAATGAAAATAATCGCTATTAAGGCAGTAATTTATTCATTTGAGTAGCACTTTTTCAAGGAAACATTCCCGGTGATCGCGGAATATTTAGCTCACGTTCAGACTGTCAAGGATAACAGAGGACACGAATACCCATCCAAACGTTTCTTGAAGAGTTGCAGGGACGTTGTCTCCTCGACTGATTAAGGGAGATCGTCCCATATCTCCACTGCCCTCTGCGTGAAAAATTCAGAACGAAGATTCAGCCTGGACATGTTTGTCCGTAGACTCCTCGAGTGACCACGAACATTCGAAGAAAGGTGCCACTGAAACATATCCTCCAAGGTAAGTCCATGCTCAATGCCATGCATTATCTTGTAAACCAGCATAAGGTCACCCCTTTGTTGCCTGTAACACAGAGGGAATAATTTAAGGCAATTCAGTCCTTCTATGTAGGATTGGATTTTTAAACCGTTCACCAGCTTTGTTGCACGACGTTGTGCTCTTTCGAGACATGTTTAGTCCTTTGCTAGCCATGGCCGCCACGCGTATATGCCATATTCTAAATGGGGCGAATCACTGGTGCCGTAAACGCTTCCGAAAACTCTTTTTTCAAAGGCTACGAACGGCCTCTTGATTGCATGGAGCACTTCCATGACGCATTTTGCAACCATGTTGCACTGCAGTGTCGATTTCATGTCACTTTGTATCCAAACACTGAGATCCTTTTGTGAATATTCTGCGGGAAGTGTAATGTCTTTCAGGTGATATGCCTCAGGCTCTCATTTGAATGAGAGCTGGTTGGACACAGATGACGGATGGCACACTTCAAGACATTGAAATCCAGAAGCCATTTCTCCGACCACGCTTGCAGTCGATGCAGATCGTTTTGGAGGATTCTCTTGTCGTAAGGACTCTTAATGGTTAGCCAGAGCTAAACTTCCTTTGCAAACATTATTTTGCCGCAGTCGAGTTCCTAAACGCTGTCATTAACATAAAGGATGATGTGCAATGATCCCAGAACTGAACCTTGAGGCACACCACTGGTCACGTTCACCCATTCTGACATATCATCTCCGATACAGACACGCTGCTTCCAACTAAAGAGGAACGCCCTTATCCAGTTCAGAAGATCTGCCTGGATGCCGATGGCGCTCAATTGGTGAAAAAGGCGTTGGTGCGAAACAGAGTCGAAAGCTTTGCGGAAATCGATGTACACGACATCGACCTCAAAACCTTCTTCTAAAGCCCAAGTCCAGATCTTCAGACAAGTATGCAGATTTAAGAGGAGGAACGTCCTCCCCGGAAGCCATGTTGAAAATTCTGCAATATATTATTTTCTTCACAAAATTCCTGTATAGCGCTCTTTACTAGAGCTTCCATCGTTTTGTATGACGGGCAAGTTAAGCTTATAGACATGAAGCTGCTTGCTGCCATTCTGCTACCTCCCTTCGGTAAGGGAACGAGGTTAGCTGTCTTCCACTGTGATGGCAGCTTTCCTGTTCTCATCGACAGCTCAAAGAGGGTTGAGAGAGGCTCTTCCGGCTCCGTTGGTGCTCCTTGGGACTCAGCCCGGGGATTCCGTCGGGTCCAGAAGACTTATCTGATTGGATTTCACTGAGACACGTCTTATTTCTTCTACAGAAAGGGTGAGGGTCTCAGTAACGACAGTATCTTGGCCCATTTCAAACTGCTGATTGTCCTCTGAGGACTCATCCGTAAAAACCGATTGAAAAAGCGGAGACAGTAATTGCACTTTCTGTGGCCCTTCAACTAATAAGTTTCCGATGCTATCCTTAAGTCACGCAATTTCGTTCCCACGTTATGCGTTAGTGCATTGTTTAAAGCAGGCATATACAGCAGAATTTATTGGACCCAGTGAAGTTCTCTTTGTACCGATACAACGATAGCGAAATTTGGTTTACAATCTATTTCAAAGGACAAGAAACATTCGCCCTTTTGAAACGGTGGATGATGAAATTTCTTGCCTTTAAAGAGCCCTGCTCAAACGAGGATATACAACACGATTGATCGAAAAGTACAGCAAAAGTTTACGGCCGAAATTGACGGAGCAGTCAGTTACGAAATAGTCCGTTGTAATATCCTTACCATTTAAGGGCGACAACATCTGAAATACCATCAAGCGTCCATTGAGATGCGCCTTTGAAAGAACATAAAACTTAGCTGAACTTGTGGCGGCCAGCCAGCATGACCGGTCTGGCGTCATTGTTTAAGACCTCGCTGCCTCAAGGTCATTTACTCTTTGCAGCAAGCCGTTCCAGACACGCTGATCTGGAGTCACACGACCGACAGCTCGGGCATACCTGCGGCCGCACTTGAATGCACCTCCCACCTGCAACCACAATCTGAGACACTGGGACACCACCCCTCGATGAGTGCAACACACCCTGACTGGACACCACTTGGGCTTGGCCTACAAGCCTACGAAAGCGGCTGCTATCTCTTCCCCCGCGACTCTCAGGCATGACTGGACGAATTCAACACCAGCCCTGGCTTCGCCGGTGGCCACTGTCGCCTGAGTGGACAACTCCGGGTTCTTCGCCCAATAAACCCCTCATTCTGGTGCCTTCTGTCTTCTCCTTCCAAAACGAGGATTTGGCCTATCGATAGTAGCGCTCTGAGTACAGAAGACGCAATCGCACTGCATAACCACTACAAAATCATATTCTGCGGCCCTACTAAGGCTATCTAAGGCCCACAAGCGAAGGATGCCTTGCCATTGCACGTCACGTCAAACTGTGTTTGCGAATTAACAGGCACTTGTGGACGCAAGTACATTGGGCGAACGCAAAGGCAACTGGCAGCCAGGGCAGTTGAGCACCTGTCTAAATGGCTTCTAAAGCAGGATAATGGGATTCCACGGTCTTTTATACAAAAAACCTCCTTGACAGCGGTCCTTCGGTTGACCCCAAGATATCTTTTAAAGTATTAGTTTGAGCACGAACAACTCGTTCACTGCGCTACCTGAAGGCAGCCTACATACGGCGGGAGAAACCCCATCGATGTAAACAGTTAGACCACGTGGTCAACCTCGACTTGCCCTAATAAATATGAGCCCTTTTGATTTACGAAATCCCTCGGCGTGGTAACTTCCTTACTTTATTTCCTCAGTTGCGTTTTTAAGTTATCATTTCTGGATTAGTCTCCGTGTAGTATACGATGACCTTGCTGTTTAACATTGATTTTCTCTCTGGAAGTTCAAATATCTGTATCATTCTCACTTGTTATCTTTGTTATGCAACGACAGGCTGCAGTTGGTAAGCCGTCGAGAAATTTGCTGTTTCCAATAAATTCTGTTGAATATGCCTGCTTTAAATTCATTCCGGTTAAATATTGCTTCATGTTAGTCCAATATCTCAACGTTCTTAAATACTATAAGAGCGGCTATTAGTTGGGAATTTCGGCTTTTATTTTTCGTGACATACTAGTGTGTAATCCACAGTAAAAATTAAAAGATATTTTTGGAATCCTTAGTTTCTAGACAAATGCTGTAACTGGAGCTCAGTCCTACTAACTGACTTATAGTTTACTTTTAATAAGCGCGAATTTTGTGAAATTGCAGAATTAACCAATCGCATCTTTGTTCACGCCTTCTCCCACCCCTTTTATTTTGTGATGTCGAATATCAGTCTCCAGTTTTATCTCAAAGAGGTTCGCCACAACAAATTTATAAATTCGCAAAATAGGTTTCCCGATTTATAAGTTCATGTAATGGAACAGATCTGGCGGTAAGGTACTCAAGTTTTATTGTCAGAATTTGCTGAATTGTTCCGATCGGCACGCCTCAAGTGCACATTTGGGGGTCCCGGAACCGGAAAATGCAGTAATGGGTGTCGTCCTTCCCCCATGGGATGAGATTGTATCTGCGCATTTGAGGTAACTAAACTCTATACTCCTCTATCTTTGCTATCGCAGATGTTTGTGGGCTCTTAGTAAGGGCGATTTTGAGGAAGCATGCGCTTGTCAAGTTATTCTTGTAAAATATCCTTTCCGGCATTATTTGTCTATGAATTGCTTTGCTAACTATCTTTACAAATACTTAATTTTCTCTCCGAGTTCTCTAAATCCTCGGTTTTATTAATAAAACTGAGAATCGAAATTGCGGATCTTGTAACCGCTTACTGAACTACGGCGGTAATTTTTGAGAACGACTGCTACTGGAGATAACTGCATTTTATTTGCTCTTGCATTTGCCATCTCCCTTACGCTGGTAATTTAGGTGTTTCTGGCCACGAATACCTTCACCTCTTCTCATCTCAAACTGATATACAGGGCTGAATTTGCTATCCACCGATATGTCAACCAAAGAATCAGATCTAAAATGCCCTCTTTAGACACAAAATAAGGGTAGTTTTAGACAACGTTACTGCAGAGAACCCGTGAAGGGCTCCTTTCTACGTGTATCCCTTTATCAGCCAGTTTTAAGCCAGAGAACGCGGAATGTATACCACGAGCAATGTATTACAAGAACCCATGTCCCTTCTAAGCTTTCGAGGAGATTCGATGTCATCACGCATCACTTCGAAAATAGAAACTTTTAGTAGCGAGCCACATGGACTCTTTGCATTTCTGCATTCTCTGTACGAATGATGGGGGCCATCATCTGAAACCGAGTGTAGCGCATGGTATCAGGGCTTGCCTACTTACTTAGTTTTAAATATATCATCTAACATGGGTGCCGCGTAGACTCGTCCAGGGTCCGCTGCATCGCGATCTTTTGCAGCTTCTATCTTCAGATCGCCAGCTGAATCGTCTGACAATTTACTTTCTACCGCCAGCCTCGAAGTTCGTTGACGTCGGATCCCCTACACGTCTGATCGAACCACGTGTTAACGTTCATAAGGTGTGGCGATCGCCTATCTGAAGCTTTATCGGTTGTTCTACCTAAGATGCGGCATACACAGTAATTGATCAAACCGATCAAAACTCAGAAAATCCGCTCTCTTATTGCTTTCGAAGGCTTTTTGCTGTGCAGCAGGTGTTCATCCAAGAACAATTCTGCATACCACTAGACCTCACTCGAACTTCCAAATACGTGCATCAATTCGTCATGCATTATTCCTTAACATTTTTAAACGGCTATTGCAAAGATATTTTCCGAGGTAAAGGAGGAGAACTGGATGCTTCCTGTCGTGTTGACGTCGGCTGTTGACCTTCGGACTTTTGCGACCGCGCTTGATACATCAACAACCGGCAAGGCAGAACCTAAGTCCACTTATGGCGGACATATGGAACGCGTAGCTCAACTTATCATGAAATTATTCCAGATTTGTGCCGCAGATAGGTAATAATTTTATAAGATAACATATTTATGTCTGCGTTCCTACCCTAAGTTAAGTATCACTTGATTTTCGTTCTAGGTTGTACTTATTTTACCTTAGCTGAACGGTCGCGGGTTGGTTGTAATTTGTTGTCGGAATTATTCTTTTCGCATAGTTCTTCTTTTCAGTGCGACACACCCTTGTCAAGTTAAAATCTAGAGTGTAAGAGTGAATAGTTCTGGTGTTATTTTGACTTATGCCAAAGCAATAAAAGATCACACTTATGAAAATCGATGATTCCGTTCATCGTGTGCACAGGCGCGAAATGTTTCCACTCTAGTATCCACACCCTTGATACTTGACAATTTCCTCAAAGCATGTTTAATATTATTACTTATAAAGTATATTTTGTTAGTCCCCTTCTCATACCCACTTTGTATTTTATTTTTAAAGCCGGACGGCTATCGAAGACTCCAAAAAGAGGGGCATGATGGGTCTTGCAAACCAGCTTTTCAAGATTTATTTCCAGGTACTGTCGATTTACTTACCCGACTCTCGTGCCGCCTCAACAGATAAATAAGCTGAACCTTTGTAAATCAATAATCAGGGCTATTGAGAACATGAATATGGATCAACATTTCAGCCTCGCTCAGCGGGTTACTTTTAACTACTATGTCGGAAGAAAGGCCATGTTTGATGGAGAATTTCAATTAGGTGAGTTTTTCTGCATGTATCAGCCCTGATGGAATCCAAATTGCTTTTACCTAGCGCCCGTTATTGCTTTTCTTAGTAGATCATACTGATGAGGTTTTACCTGTTTCTACAAGACAATCTTTGGTTCGAGGCAATGTTTCATCGCCATATCTTTTCTTAATCCGTATTTTGTTGATTTCTTACAGCCAATACAGCCCTCACCTTCGCCTTTGAACGATGTATATCTTCTAGCAAACGAAACAAGCGAATGGTTCTTATTTATCTTATCCCCGTCCGAATGCTTTTGGTACGTTGCGCTTCAGGGCTTTCTAAACACAATTTATGTCTCCACCCCCTTGTTTGGCGTAAGCGTTTCACCCGAAATCAATCATTAGTTCTTTTTGTTGTTTGTGTTATGGCATCTGGTCATCGCTCATACTCCACTATTCAAACTCGCAGACCGCCACAATGATCAGCTTTGTCTGAGTAATTCCTACCTTTGAATCGTATGCATACAGTGGATGTGCTAACCCATGAAATTTTAACCGAAAGTCTGAATGGCGTTTTCGACTCTAAAAGATTACTCGGGCAGGGTTGTCACATTAATCACCGTGTTTTTGCACATTTGCTCAAGCCTGAAGACGACTTGGGAAACCCGCGTCGAAAATTTACTGAAGAAGGTTTTCTATGATAATCCAGTTACTTCAGTATGTCGCCTTTTGAACGAACTTCCTTCTATCCCCTGGCAAAAACTTCACCCTGTAAAAGTGACTGCTTGAGTTGCATGAATTTTTCTCGTTGATCTTCGACGTCATTATCAATCAAATGTATCTCATAGGAAGCATGCATAAAATACACTTTCTTTTACTGATTTGATACGAAATTACGTCTCTATATTTTGTACTTGAAGGAAGGGTGTAAATACGGTTAAAAAACGTTTCCAATTCCCGAATAATTTTGAAGCTGACCTGTCGTCACACTTGCATTCAAGGTTTCTAAACTACAAGTTGTGTATTTTCCGTGTACGGGAGACCGTACATTCCTCTGAGCCATATTGTAAACTATACAAGCAACATTAGTAAATGCAGATACACGATGTTTTATGAGCGGACGTTTCGTGGTGTTAAAAATCTCATAATAAGAAATTTTATAAAATGCGACCTATGCCCTTCCTTCAAATATAAAATCTAATGAAGACATAATTATCTGCCAAATCAGTGAAAAAATGAATATTTTTTATGCATGTTTTCTATGAGATATATTTGAATTTATTAGGGCATCAAAAATCAATAAAAAAATTTGTGCCATTTAAGTAGTCATTTTTTTGCAGAATGTGGTTTTTGCAGGCGGTCGGAAGGAAGTTCGTTCAAAAGCCGTCATCATGAAGTAACTGATTTAATGTGGGATTATTCTGCGCGGTGATTGATATTACAACCCTACTTAAGTAAACTTTTTGAGTCGAAAACGCATTATAGAACTTCAATTAGGATTTCATGAGTTAGCACATCTACTGCGGGTCTAGATTTCCCTGGGCTCTCCGTTTGCAGCTTGCGTCTCTTTCGAAACTCCTTCTTTGCGGCGGTTGTCAGCCATTTTGGTCTGCTTCTGGTCGAAAATATTTCTTTAGGTGGCAGTGCCATTCCGTGGAGTTAATCCTTGAGTTGTCGACCATTCGTTGACATCTCGTAAAACATCCACCCACAGTGTGTGTCTGATCCCCCCCAGATATGTTTTGACGACTTTGAGCCTCGTTTTGGTGCGACTGCAAGTGTTTATTTCTCCGTTTCTCCTGTTGACGTTTTACTTCAAACTCTGCTCTAGGGCATCTTTCCCCAACAGAAGCTTCTCGAGAAATATAATCTGAGGGAGTTTGAGGGGATCGCGGAGGCTGCAAAGTACGTTCCCATCCCTAACGTTCCAACATCCCACGCTTTTCCAGATCAGGCAACATAAGAAGGCTCAATGCGGACCTCAGTCGTTACGAGGACTTCTTCATATCCTGTGGCGTCTTCCTTATTTTGGAGAAATTGAAGGTGATAGCCTACCGGAACCTCTTCAAGCGGATGTAGGTGCTTACGGGGTTTTTGGATGTCTAACCCTTTCTCTTCCAGTGCCAATATCCTGAAAACTCACTTGCTACCAATTGCCGCATTTACGGATGCACTTAAATTTATGGGGGTGAGTAACTTTGGCCAGTGCAACCTCATTTCTTGATTGTGTGACCTGTGTGGGTGCTCTTCAAAGATAGCTGTCTGGATGTTTTTTCTCTCTAACAGATGGTTCTGGTCATGGCGGCAGCTGAGACAGTCCAGAGAGACTGAAGCAACCATTTTTCATTTTTTCCTCACTGTCAGCCAGCCTGAGACGACCCCGAGCCCTGAACGCAGGTTCAGCTGGTCATTGAGCGGCGAATCACCTTGCTACTCAGACCATGGCCGGCTGTTCAGTCGGCTGTTTACTGCAGTTTCGACAATGCCTTTGTCGGCAATACGACTTCCCACCAGATTTCTAGCTCCGAGCCCCAGGTCTGAGAGAGTCAGACTACAATAATTGCCGATAGAAGCGCAGATGTCGCGTGTGGCCCGTGCTGACAGACTGTTTAGCCTTGTCAGGCAACGCCCCCTGCTCACCGGTCGCCTTGATGTTGCCTTGCCATCGGCGTCACGTGAGTGAGTGGGGAGACAGTGCGGTAGGTGCCACGCAAGTCTGCCCCATCACGCAAGCCCACTCCGTTGCGGTGGACGTCGTCACCAACCGCATTTGAACCGTTAGGGCGTTGCCTCGCAATGAACTCCACTCCAATTTGATCGCGTATTCCCGACGGGCCTTGAGCCCGTTGCTGAGGCACTAGAGCTTTCGGGCCAATGATCACCTGTTCAAACTGCAGAATTTTGCCGTTTTTATACTAACCTCATGCGTCGCTTATCCCGTTGGCTGTGTAGTGACTGCACCGGAGAACCGTGGGGTAAAGCTCTGCACACTTACAATAGATGGGCCAACTCATGAAATTTCGGCCGAAATTTCGAAATGCGTTCTTATTTTGAAAAGATTAATTAAGTAGGGTTAAAAAACTAATCATCGTGCAGCATAATTCTATAATTATCTAGTTACCTCAGGGTGTCGACTTTTGAATGAACTTATTTCCAACTGTATGCATGAACAATACTCTGCAAAAAATGACTACTTAAGTAACATACAATTTTCTCATTGATTTTCGATGCACTTGAAAATTTAATTATATTTCGGGAAAACATGCATAAAATATTCATTATTTTATTTAATCGGTAGAAAATCACGTCTTCTTTCAATTTTATACTCGAAAGAAGAGTATAATTCAGTTTCAAAAAAGTTCCTAATTCTGAAATTTTTTAATACCGTGAAGTGACCGTTCATAAAACGTCATGTATCTGCATTTACGAGTGTGGCTTGTAAAGTTAACATTGCTCAAATCCACTCCTCACTTTTATAAATCCCTTATGGTCTCCTCTTAATACCGTAGAGAAACGCATGGACTGGGAAATATATGGCTTGTAGTTTTGAAACCCTGAAAGCAAGTGTAACACCAGATCGCGTTCAAAATTATTCGGGAATTAGAAAAGTTTCTTAAAACCGAATTATACTCTTCTTTCGAGTATAAAATCGAAAGAAGACGTGATTTTCTACCGAATAAGTAAAATAATGAATATTTTAATGCATGTTTTCCATGAACTATAATTGAATTTTCAAGGGCATCGAAAATCGATGAGAAAATTGCGTGCTACTTAATCCGTCATTTTTTGCAGAGTATAGTTCTTGCATGCCGTCGGAAATAAGTTCGTTCGAAAGCCTACACCCTGAGGTAACTGGATGATTATAGAATTATGCTGCATGATGATTAGTTTTAGAACCGTACGTAATTAATCTTTTCGAAACGAGAACGCATTTCGAAATTTCGGTTGACATTTCATGAGTTAGCCCACCTACTGTACTTGCCCTTAATCAGAATGAAGTGGCAGGAGATTATTTATTTGCGTGTCTGCCCTTTTATCAGTTACTCACGCCCCTTTTGCCGTTTTACTGCGCTTCAGATGGAGGACGTCGATTCTGACGAGACGAGCTGTATCCTCGCTAACCTGATATACGACGTAAGTCGCATTTCCAGTTTATATTTACGGAGTGACCCTCTGGTACAGCACATAATTCCGGATTTTTCCCTCCATCGCGCGTGCACTGTCAATCAATGCATGTGCGTGTGTTGCCCATGCTCCTACAACGCGCGTTTAGCAGGGCTGCGCACCCGTTACAGATGCCACACATGAGGACTGTCCTGGCACGCCTAGGCGCGGGCTCGCGCCACGCCGTCCATATGCGCCCAATCCCTGCATTAGACGACTGACTGGCTGGAACAGCTGACTGGTGCGTGGGAGAGGCAGGAGAGAGTGAAATCGACTCTGGGGACTCCGTCTCTATTGCAACCAGCGCGCATTCTTCGCCATAGCCAATCTGATGCGGTGTTAAGCTGTCACTATGCGCTAAGAGCCGCGGTTTGAACGGCTACCAACTGACGGGCTACAATGGCTCCTTCTTAATATGACCTCTATGACACACCGACTTAAGTGGGCTCTGATCAGCCGCTTTGCTTCTGTAAAAACCTTGGCCATCGTAAACGTACCGGGCGTGTGATTGGCACGCACAGACGGGCTGTTTGACTTAGCTAGGATCGCAGTTCGTAGCCAGACATACGTTGATAATGTCGACGTACTTACTTGTAATCAGTAGGTGTGTTTATCTTGTCTAGGGAAGTTGTTATCAGTAGGTATGCTTCCACTCAGTTAGGCAGGTCGTCCGCTTCGGTCAGGCTGTTGGGTTTAGTGAGGGTTAGGGTTAGGCGTAGGTTAAGTTTTAGGATTAGAGTTTGAGTTTTGGGGTTAGGTGTTAATGTTAGGGTGAGGGTTTAGGCTAATAATTAGGGTTTGGCCTTAGGGTTGGGGTTTGGCCATAGGGTTAGGGTTAGAACATTTGGCTTAGGTTTTAGGTTAGGATTAGGCTTCTTGTTTAGGATTACGACTTCCGGGTTAGGGTTAGGACTTCAGGGTTAGGTTTCCGGGTTATGGTTAGGGTTTACTATTAGGTGCTCAACGCATACGATTAGGGCGCTCAGCCACTGCGCCCCGCTCTGCCTCTGATTTTTTGATTCGGACTCGGATGGGTGAGGGAAGGGAGAGTACGGTAGATACTTCGCAAGTCTGTCACCACTGGTAGTGAGCGCTCACCGATCGTTCCTATGGAACTCACTCGTCCCGTTGTGCCTTACGGGCTGTCTATCGAGCCCAACAATCAGCCGCACAGCGGCGCATGATATAGGCAGTATTTTATTACCGACATACGGACCCGTGGCCCTGTGGTTAGAGGCGTTGAACTTTTAACTAACAGGTCGCACGTTCGAGCCCCAGGTGTTCCACACTTCGGGGGTGGGTATGACTGGTTGACGACGGCCCATAAGCCAGAAATGGCCATTCCAGTCTCCCTTGTCTTTGTCGGTAATAACTATTAAGTGGTTTACGCTCAAGTCACCGTCCCTGCGTCCAACATGCTGTGAAACTCAGGCTGGACATCATCGTTCGCGATGGTCGAGCAGTCGTGTTTGGCCCATACGTCCCCACGACGCATAGCACTGTAACGCAGACCTAAGCAGGAGTTTGCCTTTTACAGCGTTTTCGCTAAGACGACTTATAAAACAGACTTAAAGTTTGAAGGAGAGTAGACAAAGGCCAGGGAGACTGGAATAGCCGTCAATGGCCTTTTGGGTGTCGTGGGCCAACCGTGCCCCATGTCGCAGACCTGGGCAAGCTGGGCTCAAACCCTAACTTTGTCCATTGAGCTGACAGTTTGTGAGAGCGCAACCTCATCGGATCAAAAGTGAAACTAGGCAAAATTCGGTAGTATCTTTGAACGGCCGGACCCCACCGCGGTGATTTTTCTCCCCTCCGCCACACGCCGTCTTATGCCGCATCAGTGTGTTTTCCGGCATGTTGTGGATCTGTTATGGCTCGGCTACGAACTCAGTAATGGCTCGAACCGACTGCACATTCGATTGTTGTCCCAGCCACCAACGCGGCAACCAAAACAGAACACGACTGACCGTGAGAAAAATCCATTCGCCTGCAAGTCGTCCTTCTTAGAAAAGTAGCGCGCATTTATAACAGCCTACTGTGGTTGGCCAGCATTCTGCCCAATGCGATTCATGAAGAGAATTCCCGGCACACGCTGAGTAACTTCTCGCAGACACGGACCAATCAGGTTCAACGGTTGCAGCCCAATGGCGAGACTCTGTCAACATCCTAATAGCATGCTGGGGAATGCGCACGTGTGATTTCCAGTGAGAATGACTGGCTCATGCTTTTGAGTATGTAGGCAGGGGTGTTGAATTAATTGACGTCTGCACATATTCACCACTGTTGTTCCGACGTTTTTATTGACGACGTAGTCGATTCGGGCAACAAACGAGATCACTTAAGAAGAAACGTGACCAACTCCGACCGCCATGATTTTTCTAGTCGTTTCTCTTCGAAAATAGACTCTTGAAGCATCTGTTAACCACTCTTTTTACCGTATGATCTGACAGTGCATTCTTCTTTGTTAAAGTATGTGGGCTAATTTACTGATTATCGAAAGTCACTTTCGAAACTGCGTAGGAGTGGCCTTCGCCCATCGCGTCTGGATTCAAGACATGGTGGTGGCATTCCATCTTCCTACGACCCTCAAAGGCGGTTTTGCGACAACGAGCAGTTATTTATACAGTGATTTATCGACAACAAAGAGGAGGTCTGAAAGGGCCGTTTCTGATTTATTAGCGGTCGTCAGCGCGCCCTCTATCCTGAAATCGAACCAGGTTTAGGAGTCTTGTTTGTGTCTTTGGATACTTAGGATCGCGACCCACTCAAGTATTATAGTATTACATTCCATAACCAACAAAACTCAGGTTCGAATCCAAGGTCTTTCTATGCAGGGTTTAGGTTCAGACTTTGATAGATGTTTTTTGTTTGTCTTGATTTTAAGGCGTTTTCTGAATATTTTTTACCTTATGAGGCGGAAAGCTGTTTTGGTGGCCGACTATTATGTGATTTTCAAAGTGCAGAAACGACGTGGCGTCTGAGTTTGACGAAGAACTAACGAAATAATTTAAGGATGCTGGCTTCATAACCTTCCAACTAAGGGTTTCTTGATTATTCTGTATCATAAATTTTCCAGTTCCGGAAGTCATTCGCCTCCCGTAAACTCCCCTTCCCCCAATCAAGAGCCTTTCTTCTCACTTCAACCGGGCACGACTCCTAATCGTTGGAAATGATCGCTTTCAGGGCTTTATTTTTGTCAGTGTATATGAAACATCGCCGTGGTCGGTCACTTGCGAATTCATTGCACAGGATTGACGAACCAGTACCTGGAGCACTCACATACGCCAGACGCATTCGCCTTAACTACCCTCATCGCACTCGCACGTTTGTCCACCGAATGGGCTTGTTGGACCACATGCTCTTTCACGAAAACCTGCGGTAGACAACCGTCGGCTAAATTACATCACATATTCCTCCATCTACATCACTCAACATCATCATCCACCGCAAGCATCCCATTGTCACTTCCCGCGCAAGTGGAAGTGTGCGCCTCGTCGCCATCTCTATGCAACTCCTACTCCGTGTGGGATTCGAGTCTGAGGCTATCACGGCGCGTAAGGCGCCATGGCTTGGAAGGCTGCACAATGACGCCCAAACTCTGTCCACACAGTCTGCCCAGTTGCCTGTATGTGTAGAGTGGCGGACTGATGAGCTGAGAGCCAGGTTAAAGCGCCATGTGAGATGTACGCCGCTCAACCCGCGTTGTGTGAAATCCTGGTGCTTGTGTTTGGGGGGTCAGGTCGTGTATGTGGCGCTCGCAGTCACCGCGCCCATCCCTCGCATCAGTCAACTGACCGGCTCGGACAGTGACTGGGGCCCCGGGAATGGGAAGGGAGAGTGAGGTCGACGGCTCAGCGCATTTTCCGCACTATAAACAATCTGACGCGCTCTAAGTTATCACGCTGCGCCAATAGCCGTGGCTTGGAGGGTCGCCAACTGACGGGATTACTTAGACCTCGGAGTCGGCATTTGTGTGTTTGCGTGGAGCGGCCGGCTGGTGGTCTAAGAGCCAGGCTACAATGGCTCCTTAATGTGGCCTTTATGACACTCCCACTTCGTGGGATTCGAACCGGGTGTGGCGGCACGCCTAGGAGCGTCCTTGGCCGCGTCAGCCTCCATTATTTTGCTGTTGGTTAGAATCCTGGTCAGTTAGTGTGTGGACCAGAAGTGTGGAGTGGAACGCCAGGTTGCGGGCTTGACAGCGCCGTCCACTTGCGCACTTCCCGACCTCCGGTCTTCTTGACTCTGTCTTGAAACCAGATCCAGGTGGGGGAGGAGGAGAGAGAGCCTTATATGTTGCGCATGTCTGCATTCATTTCAAAATTTATCACGCGCAAGTCACCGTGACTGCTTGACCTTGTTGGCTGACATGTACACTCTTTGCTTAATGAGGCCACCTCGTCTTTTTAGTAAACGCGGTCTCCTAGACCGTGAACATGATCATTCTTGAAACACACAATATTTTCACTACTAGAGGTAAAAGGCGGGCTTAAGAGAAACGCAAGACAAGGATAGGCCAGTCTACAGGATCGTTGTTTTCTTCGCCTGAGCTTGCGGGCCAAATCAGTATCTTATCATCCGAGAAGCAGGAAGACAAGGAATGAGGGTCAAGTGCTTGTGTTCCTGCTCTAAAACGGCCAGAAAGCTGTTTTCGGGTCTGAGGATGACCACAATTTTGGGACTCGGCAAGTCGACCTGCCTCCTGCTTACCACCCACGATGGTTTTTCAGGCTGATTTTTGCCTCCGACACGCCGGGCGGCACTATGAATGCTGTTGTTGACACAAGTCCGAAAGTTTGTGCAGGGATGTTCTGAGTGGTCAAGAAATGCCACCGACAAAAAAAGAAGGTAGGCCACACGAAATACTTCGCGATTATCTATTACTCGTTGTTATGCCACCAGCCACGAGTGCCTTCGGTTGGTGGTGTAAAGCAAAGCGGACTCATTTCTTCCTAAAATCGGGATACATCGATTAATTTCACCCCAGTCTGGTATCCTACTTTCACACCGATCTTCATTAACGAGTCCCTTTCAGACGTTTACGCTACTCGACTTGCCTACTAGCTACTTTCCAGTAGCAGTTTTACATTGGCCTGTTTTTTGCGAACGATTACCCATTGACCAGCTGTTTGTTCGTGCCTTTTCAGGGGAAAATCAAGGGCTATTTGGCCCACCAACAGCAGAAGTTAGTGGTGAGCAAAGTGCAAGCTTTCCCTCCCCTGTAAATATCCCCGTTCCATCACCACCCGCCTATCGGTCTGTACAGCTCTGATATTTGTTTCCTAGTAAACGTCCGCAACAAACGGTCTTGTTTCGTGCTACTGACAACCGGGCTTCACAGAGGCTGGGGTTGGTTTTGTTTCCTCTTCCGGCCTTGCAGTGCCGGAGGTGTATCCCTGTCTGGTTCTGCTTGCCTGATCAGTTAAATTGCAGGTCTGGAGTCATTTTTATCGGAAGTTCACCCAGACGCCCACTTTCTCTCTCTC